GCATAGTCAATGTCACTGAACTGTGTATGTAGAAATTTTTGAAACGGTGTATCTTTGGTTGTGTGTATTTTCACCAAAAATAAAAAAATAAAAATAAATAAATAAATATATATATAAATTGTTTTCCTTTCTTTTTCAGGTTATTACGTGTGGATAGGAGCTAAGCAAGCTTTTACTCTTAACCATCTAGTCAGAAGGGCTTTTCTGAATAGCTCTGTATGTCACTGCTTGGGCAAAGGCTGCCATCTTCAATTCTATTACTCTATGGAAAACAGTGTTCTGAGAGTAGGACTGTATAATAATGAGGTAAGAAAAAACTGGCAGTTGTTTCAAACTCATTGAATAAATGAGATGTCATTCTTTACAACTTGTGCTTCTATCATTCACACACACTCTAATTGAGTGTTGCTGTAGGTGTTCTTTAACTTGACTCTATCTGGTACACTTTTACAAAGAAATATTAAGAAGCCAGTTTAGAAGGTATTGTCATGTGCAAAAGTTAGTGTAATAACTCGCACAATATTATTTCATAAAACTGTTAAAATTCATAAAGGTATGTTGAAGAAACTATAGGTCTAATAAAAATGAGAACTCTGGTATTCTGTAATGTTAGCTCTATATTGAAGTTCTGGTGTGATCTGTTTCGGATTTTAGATCTGTGTATTATTAAAGCTGTAAATATGATGGCAGTAAACTACTTGTTCCAGTACCAGTAGATACAATTTGTTGTTGTTGTGTGCCGTGCAGTAGTTACTGAGTCATAGGGACCCTATAGGACAGAGTAGAACTGCCCCATAGGATTTCCTAGGACGTAAACTTTAAGGGAGCAGATGACCAGGTGTTTTCTTCTGCAGAGCCACTGGTGAGTTAGAATCGCTGACCCTTTTGTTAGCAGCCAAGTGCTTTACCATTGCACCACCAGGGTTTTTTAGATACAATTTTAAAGACTACGAATTATTGATTAAATCCAGACAAATGAACCACTTGAATGAAAAAAAAGGCACATGAGGTAGAGTAGAGTGAAAGTTGTGGTGGTAGTGCTGGTAGATAAAACAAATCCAGGCCCTTCTCTGCCTGATTTTAACTGAAAGTACTTCTCCACAAGTGGGAAAACACCAGAGGCATTTTGAGAATTTCTGTTCTAAAGACGAATTCATTGACAGATGGAAGTAAAGAAGACACAGATGTCATTCTAGAAACAAGAAACATTTGGCAATATTTGTAAGAATTTCTGATTGAGGGAGAAAGACAGTAAAGTATCCAAGTTAGTTTCCTTTGGCTCTGGACGCCTTGACTCAATCCAGTTTAAACTTCCACATGACATCAGTCACATCCATTTTTTCAACAAAAGTTTATCATTTATTACTGTTAGGCACCACTAACCTCCTGTCAATAACATTTAATCTGCTCTGTTTTCTTCTGAGGTGTGCAGCATTGTAATAGTTAATCCTCAGATGTTAGAATTATTATTACCATGATACTTGAAAATTCAGCAGGAATTCTCCTTTTTTCTTCCCAGTCTATCACATCCCCACTCAGTTTATTTTTTGTGACATTTTCATCATGTCCTGAATTCTTTCTTCTGTCTCTTCTTCTCCAGGGTACTCTCAGAGTTCTGAGGCACAAAATTAGGCAAGAACTCTTGTCAGATAGCCTAATAAACGCTTCTTTGTTACTTGGGCTAGACGTGATTTCTAGCATTCTGTGACTGTGTTATATTTTTTGTAACATTTTTGCAATAGCACTTGGTAACCCCACTGTCTTACAATTAATTTGATATATTTCATTTGATTTGTGAAGGGATTGGAGGGCACAGGGAAACAGCTACTTACCCTTTCTGTGGTACTTTAAACTTTCAAGATAGATGGGAACAAACCAAAAATTAGGTCAAACTTTGTAGAGATATGTTTTATCCGTAATGCCTCAGCAATATTTCAGTTACTATCACTTGTACCATGTAAATCAAGTCAAGTGAGCCTCCAGGAAGTTTTCAACCTTATATAATTTCCAATTTCCCTTTTGAACAAAGGCATAGTTAAAAAAAAAATCTAAATTTTTGTTGTTGAGTTTAAGTTATAGTTAAAGATGTTTTAAAATATATAGCCTAAGATAGTGCTTTCATGTGGCAGGTAATCAATTCATGCTCATTAAATGTTGAATGAGTTATTATTCTAAATTTAAATAGAATTTTTTACCATACCTGCTAATCCTGAGGATTATTTTAATGTCTCCTGAACATCAGTGATGAATTTTAGAAGTTTAAATTCGGTTATGAATTACTGAAAATGACCAGTATCATCCGCTGGTGGCTTTGCACTGTACAAAACAGGAATAAAAAAAAATTAGCTTCAGATACCACCACACGTAATAAAAATAGGCTTACCAAGATTCCATCTCCCAAGTTATAAGAAACGGAGTAAAAGTTAATCATGGAGAACTTATCTATTGTATTAACCAGAACCAATTGGATGTACATCTTAAAAGGGTGTTACCTAATATTTGATTTACCAGTTTTCTAAGTCTTTTTTTAATACTTTATTTTATTTTTGTTGTTGAGAATATACACAGCAGAACATACACTAATTCAACAATTTCTACACTTGCAGTTCAGTGGCATTGATTATATTCTTCAAGTTGTACAACCATTCTCACTCTCCTATTCTGAGTTTTTCCTCCTTCATTAACATAATCTCACTGCCCGCTAAGTTTTCTGTCTAATCTTTCGAGTTGCTGTTGTCAGTTTGATCCCATGTAGATAGATCTTAAAAGAGCACACTGCTCAAGGCATATATTCTTACTAGTGAAGCTAAACTATTGTTTGGTTTTGAGAAGACTTCAGGGGATATTTTTGGTTTAATTTTAAAGATTATCTCAGAGCAACATTTTCAGGGGCTCATCCAGCCTCAGGTGCTCCAGAAAATCTGGATTCCTTGAGAATTTGAAATTCTGTTCTGCATTTACCCCATTTGATCAGGATTCTTCTATAGAATCTTGGATCAAATGTTCAGTATTTGTAGCCAGGTACCATCCAGTTCTTTGGGTCTCGTGACAAAGGGGCAGTTGTTCATGGAGACAATTAGCCACACATTCCATTTCCTCCTCTTATTCCTGACTCTCCTTCCTCAGTTACTCCAGGCAAATAGAAACCAACTGTTGTACCTTGGATACCCAGTATTTTGCAGGTATCCTGTCTTTTCTGGCACTCCATTTGCTGTGCTCTATATGCTTAAAATGTTATCACTGATGTTAAATCTGTATCAAGGTACATTTAAGTCACAAGTTGATGTTTTATCACAAACTCAAAAAGAGCTTCAAACTTATTTAAAAATTAGCTCTTGATGAAGATGATTATTCATATGTACCATGAATAGAATGCTGTTTTTTTACTATGAGCATCCATAAATCCATATAAATGTCTGCATATAAACCAAGAAATACCTAGTGATAATGCTAAGGTTTGTTTTCTTTATTTCCAAAGGAGAGTAGAACTTGAGAAGTAAAAAACACAGGCAGGAGGCAAGTTGGTGAAGAAAAAGTTTACCCTTTAGAATCAGCTTAAATGTATAACAGTTCTAGGTTTGTCCTATCCAACTATTTTTTCGTTTAATCTCTGTCCATCATCTCTAAAATAATCATCATAGTAACAACCTGTCTTTTATCCTGTAGAGAATTTCCATGTCAATGAACCATGGATAGTGGGGTGCCCAGCTTGTGGTGCCTTTTACATATTTCTTAGATTCCGACTGGCAAGTAAGAAGAACAAATAGTTGGGACAGGAAAGAAAAGTATCTTCCCTTATATGATATAGTTTTTAAAGACATAATAAGCTCTCCCTGATGAAAGGTCCTTACCAGTGCACGTTGTCCTATCCCAGGATGAAATCAGAAATAGTAGGGGGAAAAGAAAACCCAGAAAACAAAAAAATACGAAAACCTTGGATGTAGTTCTTTTATTTCTGCACTGGAAAGGGAAGAGCCTGAGAGTAAGGACAGAAATAAAATAAAACTGATTTCATTTAGTTGCGGCAAATTTTTTCTTGTCATTTTTTGTGTTGTCAGACAGAAAAATCTGGTCAAAAAATCTGGATCTCATTCGGTATACCATCACCTTAGTGTATGAAAAGACATTTAAGTTTGGAAAGTACTCTCCTCACTTTTCAGAAAAATGTAAATTCACCCTTCTTTGGACAGAACAGAGGGAGATCCATTAGTCACTGTGAAAAAAAGAGCACGATTGCTGTAAATTGTTCTCATAAAATGAAAATGGAGGAAGTGATGAATGCCACTTGCCAAATAGTGTTACTAAAAGCATCTGTGGTAGGTATATGTATCTTGATGCCAAGTAACTAAAGTTGAGTAGGAAATAATTGGGGAAAAAATTAGTTGTCTGTCTTAACTTTTTTATAACTGCAGTTGGTACTGGTGTGACTTGGTAGCTATCAGCTAACATATGTCACCTCGTGTAATTCACTGTCTTGTGAAAGTCTTAACAGTAAATATGAATAAGTATGAAATGGAGTGAATTTTAATGGGTTTAGACTATTTTCTAAAATATTTAGGACTTGGACATTTGGAAGGTAAAGATCTAAGACGAAAATGGATTCAGTTTTAGAAAATCTTGAGTATAAATGAAATAAGTAAAGCTGAATAAGAAGATAAATGCTTATGAGAGTCTGAAAAAAGTATGTGTCATGTGTAATTTGAATTACAATTAGATATTATGTCCTAATGTTTCCAGTCTCACATTAGAAGTAAGATACAGAACTCAAACTGAGACATATTTATGTCCCTCTCCACATTTTTACTGTTGATACAGGAAAAATCAATTCATTCTACGGGTAAATATTATGAACAATTTGGTCTATTATTTACCAGAGAAAGGTCAAATTAACTTGAATGATGAGATGTAAATAAAAAAATGGGATTATTGCAGAGCATGAAAGTATTATCACAAATCATAAATAGCTATACCATAAGGCAAAATTTTGGAGTGCATTATAGACTTTTGTTGAGTGTCTTTCTTCAGAGTGTGTAGTAACATAATTTTGCATACACTTTTCATCTTGAAAAGTGATCATTACACAGATGCATGACATGGCATGCTCTAGAAGACATAAAAAGGCCTTCTATAAAATGACCAGAAGGTTAAATTACAGAAATATAATCTCCAGAAAATTAACTGTATTGCTTGGAACTTAGAATGAATTCTCCTATAAGAAAAGAAGAAAAGTATATATATGTATATATATGTGTATATATATATAATTGAGATGGTACAGGAAAATGTATCCTGTTTGCCTTTATATTAAATGTTTGCCTGTCCTATCTTTTCTAGTGTCCTAACAATATTGCAAAATACAGTAATGTCAGTGGAATCAACATTTAGATTGTTGGTATTATGAATTGGTTTTGGAATTTTATTCATAAAGTATGCTACTTTATTTCTTTTAAGATTCCATTCAAATTTTTATTCTGTTCTCATCTTCTCCATTCATAAAAAATTAAGCAACTTTACTACATAAACATGCTTGATTTCCTTATTTTTGCTTTTAAAATGTTATGCAGCTTTTCAATCCATACCAACATTTTAGGTTTTCTAGTGCTTAGTATCATGCAATGAGCCCTGTTAAGTCATACAGTAAGCCCTGTGGTTAATATCATACAATAACATCATGCAATAAGCTTAATATCATACAATAAGCCCAGTGCTTAAGTGCTGGGCTGGTAACCAAAAGGTGTGTCCTCTTCAGCAAAGATTTACAGCCTTGAAAGCCCTGGGTGGGGGGGCAGTTCTGCTCTGTCCAGTAGGGTCACTATGAGTCAGAATTGAGTTGATGGCAATGGGTTTGCTGTTTTGGTCTAATCATACAGGTAGGGTAATCACTACTAAAAATTTAATTAAGATAACACATATGTAAATATGAAAGTAGAATTTGGGGAAGGAGTAATATCTTTTTCTTCATATCAAAGGAAGAAGAAGTGTTTTGGACATACAACACATCAACTAACAGCAAGTGGGTCAAAGCAGATGTGTTAATACCAGAAGATATGAAGGAATTTAAGGTATAAGAGAGAAAATAAGTAATTTTTTAAATCATAAGTTTAATTTTTAGCTTTGCAGTAGTGAATATATCACCTATTGCTAAACATTTAAGTAAGAGATATAAACTTGTGTATTTAGGGAGATCAGTTAGCTACTTCTTTTCATTGTACCTGGCCCTTCTCAGGTCAAATTTCCCCTGAGTGGAGGAGCCAGCTTATGACTACTTGTCTTAGGCTGGGTTCTCCAGAGAAGCAAAACCAGTGAAGTGTATAAATATATATATAGAGAGATTAATACCAAGGAAACAACTCATGCGATTGTAGAGGCTGAAACATCCCAAGTCCGTGGATCAGGGTAGAGGTCTTTCTGAAGTCACGCAGCCACAGAAGCTGGTGAGCCCAAGATCAGCAGGTCGGAGAGCTGGGCTCCCGCTCACAGCTGTGAAGGTTGATGAGGCACAAGATCGGCAAGCAAGACCACAAGGTTTCTCCTGATTCACGTAGCTGCAGGGGCTGGTGAACCCAAGATCGGCAGGTCAGAGAGCAGGGCTCCGCTCACAGGCTGTGAAGATCAATGAATCCCAAGTTCAGCAGATAAGCTGACAGCCCAAGTGCCAAGAACCAGAGATGAGATGACAGGAGGAATCCGTAGGATCCAGAGAGAGCAAAAAGCCAGAGCGTCTGCTTATATTCAGATGTAGGCCACACCCCCAAGGAAACTCCCTTTCATCTGATTGGCTACTCATAGTATATTCAATCATGGGAGTGATCACATTAAAACACTGAGAATCATGGCCTAGCCAAGTTGACATACAATCTTAACCATCACACTACTCTTGTTTAAAGCTTCCTCCTTCTCGATAGACTCCCTCCCTAGCATCTCCAAGCACCATGCATTGCACAGGGAAGCAAATCGCGTTATGAAGCAGATAAATAGTTAACTATTACAGAAATCCAGCAGAATGCTTTGAAGGCAGTAATTCACGTTGAATTATATAGCTTTGGTGATAGAAATGACTCTGGAGATCACATGGTAGAATTTTGCGAGACCAAAAACTTACTCATCGCAAATACCATTTTCAGCAACACAAACCATGACTATACACGTGGCCCTCACCAGATGGAAAACACAGGCACCAAATCAACTACATCTGTGGAAAGAGACTTTGGAAAAGCTCAATATTATCTGTCAGAACAAGGCCAGGGCCTGACTGTGGAACAGACCATCAATTGCTCCTATGCAAGTTCAAACTGAAGCTAAAGAAAATTAAAACAAGTCTGTGAGAGCCAAAATACAACCTTGAGTATATCCTCCCTGAATTTAGAGATCATTTCAAGAATAGATTTGACACATTGAACACTAAAGATCGAAAACCAGGCAGGTTGTGGGATGACATCAAGGACATCATACATGAAGAAAGTAAAGGGTCATTGAAAAGGCAGGAAAGAAAGAAAAGACCAAAACAGATGTCAGAAGAGACTCTGAAACTTGTTCTTGAATGTAGACTAGCTAAAGTGAATGGAAGAAATGATGAAATAAAAGAGCTGAAAAGATTTCAAAGGGTGGCTCGAGAAGACAAAGTAAAGTATTATAATGACATGTGCAAAGACCTGAAGTTAGAAAATCAAAAGGAAATAACATACTCAGCATTTCTCAAACTGAAAAAACTGAAGAAAAAATTCAAGCTTTGAGTTGCAATTTTGAAGGATTCTATGAGCAAAATATTGAACAATGCAGGGAGCATTAAAATATGGAAGGAATACACAGAGTCACTGAACTAAATAGAATTGGTTGATGTTTAGCTGTTCCAGGAGGTAGCATAAGATCAAGAACCTATGGTATTGAATGAAGAAGTCCAAGCTGCACTGAAGGCATTGGTGAAAACACGGCTTCAAGAATTGATGAAATACCAATTGAGATGTTTCAACAAATGGATGCAACGCTGGAGGTGCTCATTCATCTATGCCAAGAAATTGGGGAGTCAGCTACCTGGCCAACTGACTGGAAGAGATCCATATTTGCGCCCATTCCAAAGAAAGGTAATCCAACAACAGAATGCAGAAATTATCAAATAATATCATTAGTGTCACAGGCAAGGTAAAATTTTGCTGAAGATAGTTCAAAAATGATTGCAGCAGTACATCAACAGGGAACTGCCAGAAATTCAAGCCAGTTTCAGAAGAGGATGCAGAATGAGAGATATCATTGCTGATGTCAGATGGATCCTCACTGAAAGCAGAGAATACCAGAAAGATGTTTACCTGTGTTTCATTGACTATGCCAAGGCATTCGACTGTGTGGATCATAAGAAATTATGGATAACATCGAGAAGAATGGGAATTCCAGAACACTAAATTGTGCTCATGAGAAACCTGTACATAGATCAAGAGGCAGTAGATCGAACAGAACAAAGGGATACCGTGTGGTTTAAAGTCAGGAAAGGTGTACATCAGGGTTGTATCCTTTCACCATACTTATTCAATCTATGCTGAGCAAATAATACGAGAAACTGGACTATATGAACAACTGGGCATCAGAATTGAAAGAAGACTCATTAACAACCTACATTATGCAGATGACACAACCTTGCTTGCTGAAAGCTTGGAGTCCTTGAAGCACTTGGTGATGAAAATCAAAGACTACAGCCGTCACTATGGATTACACCTCAACCTAAAGAAAATAAAAGTCCTCACGGCAGGACCAATAAGCAAACTGATAAACAGAGAAAAGATTGAAGTTTTCAAGGATTTCATTTTACTTGGATCCATAATCAATGCCCATGGAAGCAGCAATCAAGAAATCAAAAGATGTATTGCACTGGGCAAATCTGCTCAAAACTATAGTTGCAAACTGTTAACAAACAAATACATATTACCCATGATTTTGAAAAAAGATAATCTATTCAGAAACTTTAAACAGGAAGTAACTAAAAGGAGTGAGTCTTTATTCCTAATGTCTTGCTTGCAATTTAACAACATCTAGTTCAGTGCATCATGATAAACATGATGATAAACAGGGGAAACGTTGAAGTTGTCAAGGATTTCATTTCACTTGGATCCACAATAAACGCCCATAGAAGCAGCAGTTAAGAAATCAAATGATGTATTTCATTGGGAAAATCTGCTGCAAAAGGCCTCTTTAAAGTGTTGAAAAACAAAAGTGTCACTTTGAGGACTAAAGTGCCATATGCATTTTCAATCGCCTCATATACTTGTGAAAACCAGATAATGAATAAGGAAGACCGAAGAAGAATTGACGCGTTTGAATTATGGTGTTGATGAAGAATATTGACTATACGATGGGCTGCCAGAATAATGACCAAATCTGTTTTGGATGAAGTACAGCCAGAGTGCTCCTTAGAAGCGAGGATGACGAGACTTTGTCTCATATCCTTTGGACATGTTATCAGGAGGGACCAGTCTCCGGAGAAGGACATCATGCTTGGTAAAGTAGAAGGTCAGTGAAAAAGAGGAAGACCCTTGATTAGATGGACTGACACAGTGGCTGCAACAATGGGCTCAAACATAGCAATGATTGTGAGGATGGTGCAGGGCCAGGCAGTGTTTCTTTCTGTTGCACATAAGGTCGCTATGAGTCAGAATTGACTCGATGACACTTAACAACAACAGTTCAGTGCAATTCGAGAGAACTTTCTGTAATAATGGAAATGTTCTATATCTATGCTGTCCAACGTGGTAGCCACTAGCCACATGTGGCTATTAAATATTTTAAATGTGGCTAGTATGATTGAGGAATTTAATTTAAAGTTTATTTCAATTAAATTGAAATAGCCCTATGTGAACAGTGGCTACCATATTGGACAAGAGAGAATTAGTCATTTGCCATACACTCAGCTATTTATATGACTTCTTCATTTTTGGTGCTAACTAACCATTGCTCTTGGTAGACCCTCACGGAATACTAATACTTTGACATTATCTCATATTTGACTAGCAGTGTAATGGTTGTTGAACTAGCTAATACTGTATACCTTCAGAGAAGCTAGCAATTTGATTGGAGAGAATATTTATTCCCTTTAATTGACACGTCTTTGATGTGATAAGTTATTATTTTAGGAAACTTTAATAGTTTTTTTAATATTTATTCTTTTTAAATTTTATATCTTTATACTGTGCCTGTTTCCATTTGCCTGATTTTTGCTATCATACGTTCAAATAATAGTTTCAGTAGATAAAACTCAGATGAATTTATAGGTCTTGTTTTATAAATAAAGATAATGTTTATTCTTTTTCTTGAAAATTGAAGAAAGAGAGCTGCAAAAATGATGACCGTATAGCAAGTTTGCAGTCAAGAATATTATACGTGGTTAAACTGTTGGCATATTTCGTGTAATCTTATTGTGGTTTTCCTGAAGCCTTAGTGGAGCTAATGTGTCCATCAATCAACTAATTGTGGGTCAGGCATATTAAATATAAACTTTATTTTCAGTTGCATTTAGTTGTTCTTTAAAGAAACCTATCGTTCTTCTCAATAACTAAACTCTATTGTAATTCTTCAGGCTTTTTATTCTTTTTAAAAAGATTGTAAGCTTATAACATGTTTACTTTTATTCCTGAAGATTGTTTTTGAAGGGGCTCTTTTGAGCCAAATAAGTTTTATTGGTCTCGATCACCTCTGGGTCTATGCCTGTGCACAGGCCCGATCTGGAAAGCTTTGCTCTGCAGATGAGTTCACTTGTGCTACTGGTCAGTGCATTGCCCAGGAATTAGTCTGCGACGCTCAGCAGGACTGCTCTGACAGGAGTGATGAGGACCCGGCAACTTGCTGTAAGTTAATTAATGGTTTAGTTCTTGGTGGAGAGCTGTCAGTTCAATGTTTACTTGTTCAAATTCATGACCATCATCGGATTTGTAATAGTCTTTGTTTTGAACAAGGTGAAGTTAATGTGTATTAAATAAGATGAACATTGTCTTAGATAAATGTATGTCCTCACTCTGAAGCTATTAGTACTATTCCTTCAGGAGTCTTTATGTTAATTTAATGTTTTGGTGTAAGTTGCTAAAACTGCAAACTCTCCCCATTTGTTCGACAAATGAATAGTTGTGATTAGTGGAGGGGTGTGTGTGTGTACGTGTATGTGTGTGTGAGTGTGTGTGTGTTTTGGCTAAAGAGGAAAATGGGTAGGGGAGGAAACCTCTTAGTATCTTTCTTTTTAGAAGCATACATTATGGGTTTCTAACTATGGGTAGGAATTGACTTGACAATAACTGGTGGTACTGGTTAACCTCATTCAATGTTGGGTTTTTTCCTCTCAAGTCAATTCTCCAGGTCAACCATGATGACCACAGAAATTATTTCAGCCACTGTTGAAATTCATGACTGGACAAAAAAGTCTCAGAACACCTTCCATTCAGGATTTTTATGAAGAGTTTTTGATAAGAGTGATATAAAAAGATCCTATTACTATTCAAACCTAGTCATATTTAAAAGAAAACACAATTTAATTTACAATGCTCATGATGGTTCCTATGAGGTAACTTAGCAGCTAAAATACTTGTGTCTCTTTAGAAATGATGAATTCAACTTAAATGAATCCAGTTCGTATATCACAAACAAGTGGTTTTTTTAATTACTAAAAATTTGACATTTACTCTGCTGCAGTGTCTTACTTTAGTGAGGGATTTTGTTGGACAACAGAAAAATATTGCAACAAATAAGATAAATGTCACCTTTTTAATGAAATTTTTTTGTGCAATATGCTTCTGTCAATAGGTGAGTAAGGATTTTATTAAGAGCAACGATGATGCAGGATAGAGATGGGAAAGCAAGGGAAAATTTCCCCGCTGGCCAGTTTGTAAACAGCAATTCAATTAATTCCTCAGACCTGCAGCTTAATCAAAACAGTTTATCAAGCAGTATGATCTTAATAAAGTTTTTGGGTGATTCTCTTCTTTCATTTAAAAAAAAATGTGAGCAACATTTATTTTCTCTAATGTGATTATGTAAGATTCCTTTCTATGTTTATTTAATTTTTCACAGACAATTTGGCCCATTTCTTTTCGGGAAATTCATCTAACACTTTGTATTATTCTCTATTTGAATAACTAAAAAAAAAAAACTCCTTTCTTTTTCATCACACATTTTGAAGCTTAGCTTCTCTATTCCCTCTTTTCCTGTGGTGAAGCATACTTTATGTTCTCCTTTGAATTGGTTTTCTTAATCAAATTCCCACCTGGAGTACATAGATATTTTACCATCTGATTTTGGACGTATTTTCCCATTTCTCTTCCTTTATTGTAGTTTCTTTGATTACATATATGGCATTTTTTTCAGTAGAAGATCTCTTGATACCATTCTTCTACTTCCATTGCATGAATGCAGGGACAGATAGCTGTGCTTTTTGACAAACAGTGTTACTTCCTAGACTTTTAAGGTATATATATCTTTCCCAATTTGTTCCACAGAATGTTCTGTGCCATGCTGACAGACACTCTGCATACACACACAAACTTCCTCGCCTCTCCTCGCCAAAAAAAAGAAAAAGATTGAATAATGTACAGATCTGTGGTCAAATCAAAATAGTCTGGGAAGTTTTGTGGAAAAATGTTGAACTTTTTTATTGTAGGATTTTTTTAGATCATTTAAAAAGCCAACATGAATTGTGAGTTTTCAAAGGAGAAGTCAATATAATATTCAAGTGAAAGAAGCTTAAACCAAGGACTCTATGCAGTGCATTTAATTTTTACTATGATACTCTCTCTGGGTATCTTTCATGTTTTGCAAAAAAAATTGTTGAGTACTAAAACACTTCCTGAAGGTAAGAGGAATACTTGTATATATATTTAGTATAGCAAAGATCCTTGTGGTTTCTTAATGAATATTATCAAAATGTTTCTAATCTAAGTTGTACTCAATGAATGAAACAATTCCTATTAGTTTCCACATATACTTTTTGCTTATATCATAGAAAACTGGTTAACTTCCGAACAGGATGACTCATAAATATTTTAATTTTCACGATCCAGAAGAATTTTCTTCAGCTGCTACAATGAAATTCTTTGGTTAAATATGCAAGAGAAAGCTTCATCATAATCTGAAAATATTACTTTAACTGATGAACTCATGATGCAATTTCTTTAAAATTATGAACATGTCATATCTCATACTTTTATTAGAGATGGTGAAGTGAATTCTACAATCACAGAAGGTTAAAAGAAAACCACCAAATCATCAAAATCGCTGTTTATAATAATTGCACATTTTGTAACATGAAATAGATGATTTTTTAGATTTTTATCAACATTTAGTATTTAACATATATGAAATGATAAGGCATTTATCAGTTGCCAGAATGCATTTTACTCTCCTGACGTTCTTCAGATATTTATAACTTCACCTTAAACTTTTTGAATTATTCAGGGAAGTATTAATGGAAGAAACTCAACTTAGGTGACTGGAATTTGACTTATATTTTATAGTGCAGTTATGTTCTAGAATACTTAGCTTTAAAAAAAATCCTTTCAAGTGTACTGGAACCAACAGCATTGGTAGAAATAGCTTTGCAATTCACTAAGATTTTCACAGAGGTGACTGTAACATCTTACTTTCACATATGTTTATTACAATGGATTTTAAAAACTAATTTTTATTTTTCAAAAGAGAGAGGCATTTAGTGTTCTATGAAAAGTGCAATGATTGACATTTTAACCGATAAAACATCCAAGTAATGAAATAAATGTTTTAAACTTTTGTCCTAAATCCAAATTTCAACACTTATACAATCAAAATTCATTTGTTTTGAAATGTTCTTTAGATATTTGTGGTTTAGTGACACAGGCATAATTGTGAAGACTCTAAGGGTTTGGTGATGCCTAGCTCACTTTGAACTTTCCATATCTACACTCATTGGTCTTATTGCCAATTCACACCATTGCCTTGTTGGGGAGTTAGGATGGTTACTTCAGTAGCCATAGCAGTGAAGAAGATTGTTTGCATGGACTTGCTTCCTTTGGGTAGCAATATATAATTTATTGCCTGAACTGGGAAATATTTAATTTATTGCCCAGACAGGGACACTTGAGAAGGAAAAGGAAAACTATGAATTATTATGCTCGTACAACACTCATAAACTGGGGCAATCCTAGGCAAACCCAGAAGTGTGGTCATCCTACCTATGGAAGATTTTCTTCTCTAGGGAAGTATGTCTCTAGGAATTGGTGGTAATCATGGTAGGAGGTGGAAGGGTTCCTTGGCCAAGTTCATAGCCAAGATTTTGGAATTTTTAAATACATTTTGGAGGTGAAGTATATATTTAGAGTCTGTCATAACTGACTTACAGGAGTTGTGAAATGGTCTAATAAGTAACAAAGCTCACAGAAGACCTAAGGAGATATCCTTAATACCAAGTTACAGCTAGGTCGTAAGTGCTAAAGAGTGTCAAAAAAGAGAAGAGGCTCTTCTTTGAGAAGTAACTTTTGATCAATAGTAGTAACCTGTACACTTTGTAGCTGGAGCTGAGAAAAGAAAAACTTATACAGGAGCATTAGATTTCACTAGGTGTATTGGAGAAGTGCACTTCCTTGTCATACTGGTACACACTAAGAAATGTGCAAGGCCTCTTCAATTATTAGAATATAGTCTATTTTTTTTTGGGAGGAGGGAATCTGCTTAACGGAGAAATGATATTTGCTTATAAAAATCAAAATGTTTAATTGTGTGTTAATTATATTATTGTCTAAGCAAGCATAACTGAGATCTAAACATTTAATTTACATGTACAGGAAACTTAGGTGGCATTTCCATTCACATACTGATATTTAATATTTTAAGAGTTGACATATTGCTGATAAAGTATTCGGTAAGAAGAGCAGGCATCCTTGTTTATAGAGATTTGAAGATTCTTTAATTATTAAGATATGGTGAGCTTATTCAACATGCTGGTCTAAATTCACGATATTGTTCAAAATTGAAACTAACTGTTAAAAGCAAGCATATGACGATGGAGTCTTCTTAATTTTGAGATACAGTCCCTGGTTTAGGTTGGCTTCCTGTTTAAACTTAGGCATCAAAAAGTCCTAAACTTACCATAGGCAGGTTTCTCAGTGCTCTGAGTTCCATTTTTCTCTTTTACTAAATGGTGATAATTATACTTACATGTAGGGTACTTGTGAGGACTAGTAGTAATGTACGTAAAGTACCTGTCACATACTTGGAGCTTAGTGGTAACATGTATGCTGTTACTGTTATTAAAGACAATAGCATTATGATCTTAGTGAGGCTTGTCAAAATGTTGAATGTTTTCTGATGAAGAATAATTTCGATTCCTCCTCCTTCCACTGTTATAAAATGTCTCTGCATTAATGGGAATATTTGGAAATATGTTTTTACATTGATTATACTAAGTTATCCTCAAACCTACTGTCTAAGACAGACTGAGACTATGATTTTTGCTTTCCAGAAGAACCAAACCCACTGCGGTCCAGTCGATCCTGACTCATAGCGACCCTGGGACAGAGCAGGGTTTCCAAGGCTGTAAATGTTTAGGGAAGCAGACTGCCACATCTTTCTTCCAAAGAGCAGCTGCTGGGTTCTAACTGCTGACCTTTTGGTTGGCAGCCGAGCACTTTAACCACTGCACCACCAAGTCTCCTGTGATTCTTACTTTAGGAATGAGGAAATTGAGGCCCATAAAAACTAATTTCTCAAAAGCACAGATCAAGTTGTCAGAATTTCTAGTTCACTGCCTAGTTCTCTGAAACCTATGTTTTTCTGACTAATTTGGTGTCAACGCTGGGAAAGGGACTTATACAGCTTACCTCAAACTCCGACTTTCTCTAGAACTAATTCTTCCGTGATAAATGTAGGAACTGAAATATTTGTTGACTTTTTAATATTTCTTTTATGTATTAAGAGAATAGTTTATAAGAAAAAAGCAAAGCTCAGAATATCTAATTTAACTGCAATTCCAAAATGGCTAAGCATTTTCTTTGGAGAAACTGTTAAAATAGCAAAATGGGGTGAATATTGGTATGTTAACCTCGAGATCTTCCGGTGTCCAGAATAAAACTTAATTCTCCCCTTTCGAACTGATTTTTTTTCACTACCATCTCAGCAAGTTTATACGTGGCAGGTGAATTAGTTACTCCCTGAAAAGCTCAAAAGTTTCACTTGCATCATTAAATTAGATTGCATCGTTAAATTCGGTCCATCAGGGTGATATGTGCCAGACTTCTAGATAGACTACAGAAAGGTGAATACTCACACAGCACATGAACACTTCAGTGAGGTTGGAAGAAGTGAAGCTGGTGGGTTTGAGCTGCCAACCTTTCGGTTAGCAGCCGAGAATTTAACCACTGTGCCACCAGGGTTCCTTATTCTGATAATTAGAAAATATTCATTATAAAGGGGATGATCATTCTGACCACTTAAATTTTACTGACTAATATTGATACCATATTTCACTGCATTTCACCTTAACGGGTTTTCTTTTCTATATGTAATAGCAGCAAATCATATCATGTGTGACTTCGAAACTGGTTTCTGTGGCTGGAAACAATTGCTCACAGAAGACCCACACTGGGAAGTAGTGAATGGATTGATGGGTAGAGAGTATCATCTTCCCAATGCTGACCATACAACAAACACGAGTCATGGTAAGATGTTTTCCTTTTTTAAAATATGTACATATTAATATTTATATATATATATGATTTTTTTCTTTTTCTCAAGTTGCCCAATGATGATGCTTTGTATTTTCATTGGTATCCATTAGACTACATAAATATAATTCTGGTTTGTCTTGTTTTAACCTCACCTAACCAACTTAATAATTAGTTGTTATTTAAATTTTCAGAAAGAAGAATTGTCTTAGTAATTAATATTTTGTTGTTTCATTTTTTAAACAGACTTTATTTTTTAGAGCCATGTAACAGTTTATAAGTTTGGGTTTTTTTTTTTTTTTTTGGTTTAGTTATACCCTTCTCCCACCCACAGTTTCCACTATTATTAGCAACTTGCACATGGGGCACATTTGTTACAGTTGATGAACCAATATTGATACATTATTATTAACTTAAATCCATAGTATTTTAGGGTTCACTCTTTGTGTTGTACAGACCTTTGGGTTTTGACAAATGTATAATGCCATGTGTCCACCATTATAGTATTATACAGAATAGTTTCACTGCCATAAAAACACTCTGTGCTCCATCTATTCATTACTGTGCCCCCAACCCTGGCAACCACTTATCTTTTACTGGTGCCATGGTTTTACCTTTTCCAGCTTGTGATATAGTTGGAATCAAACAGTATATAGCCTCTTATGACTTTTTTCACTTAGCGATATGCATTTGAAGTTCCTCCATGTGTGGCTTGTTAACTCATGTCTTTTTATCACTGAATAATATTCTATCGTACTGATGTACCACTGCTTATCCATTCACCTGTTGAAGGCTATCTTGGCTGCTTACAACTTTGGGAAATCATGAATAAAGCTGCTGTAAACATTCATGTGCAAGTTTTTGTGTGGATATAAGTTTTCAGCTCATTTGAATAAATACTTGGGGGTGCAGTTGCTGGATAATATGGTAAGACTATGTTTAGCTTTGTAAGAAAGTGCCAGAGTGTCTTCCAAAGTGGCTGTACTATTTTGCATTAGCACCAGCAATGAATGAGATTTCCTGTTGCTCAACATCCTCACAAGCATTTGGTATTATCAGTGTTTTGGGTTTTACCCATTCTAATAGGTGTGTAGTGGTATCTCATTGTTTTAATTTGCAATTCCCTAATGACATAGAATACTGAGCATCAGTTCATATGCTTATTTTCCATCTGCGTATCTTCTTTGGTGGATAGGACATCTGTTCATATATTTTGTCCATCTGTTAATCCAGTTATCTTATTGTTGCATTTTAAGAGTTCTTTGTATATTTTGGATACAAGTTCTTTATCAGATGTGTATTTTGCAAAGATTTTCTCCCAGTCTATGGCTTTTCATTCTTTTAACAGTATCTTCCACAGAGTAGAAGCTTTCAATTTTAATGAAGTCCAAGTTATCAGTGTTTTTCTTTCATGGATTATACTTTTGGTGTTGTATTAAAAAATTCATCACCAAACCCAAGGTTATGTTATCTTTTAGTAGTTTTATAGTTTTGCATTTTACTTTTAGGTCTATGATCCATTTTGAGTTAATTTTTTGTTAGGGGTGTAAGGTTAGTATCAAGATTCTTTTTTTTGTCCAGTAGTTCTAGTACCAATTGTTTAAAAAAGACTATCCTTTCTTCACTGCATTGTCTTTGCTCCTTTGTCAAATATCAGTTGACTATGTTTGTGTGGGTCTATTTCTGAGCATTTTGTTTTGTTTCATTGACCTATTTGTCTATTCTTTTGCCAGTACTATACTGTCTTGGGAAATCCTGGTGGCGTAGTGGTTAAGTGCTGTGGCTGCTAACCAAAAAGTCCATGGTTCGAATCCACCAGGTACTCCTTGGAAACTCTATGGGGCAGTTCTACTCTGTCCTACAGGGTCGCTATGAGTCAGAATCAACTCAACAGCAACAGGTATACTGTCTTTATCACCGTAGCTTTATAATAAGTCTTGAAGTCTGGTAGGGTCACATTTTTCTAAAGGTTGGCACGTAGGGTGGTGAGGAAGTCTCCTGATAATCCTCTCTAGTTGTCAGAAATTATGTACAGTAGTTGTCTTAGCTATCTAGTGCAGCTATAACAAATACCACAAGTGGATGGTTTTAACAAACAGAAATTTATTCTCTCAGTTTAGGAGGCTAGAAGTTCGAATTCAGGATGCCAGTTCCAAGGGAATGCTTTCTTTTTTTGTTGGCTCTGGGATAATGTTCTTGTCCCCTTTCAACATCTGTGGGCCCAACATTCCTTAGAGATCTCCATGTGTCTTGGTATTGGTCTTCCCCTCCATCTAGGAGGTTCTCAGCAAAGGGACCTCAGGTCCAAAGGATGTGCTCTGCTCAAGGCTCTTCTTTCCTGGTGGTATAAGCTCCCTGGATCTCTGCTCACTTGTTTAATCTCTTTTATATCTCAAAAGAGATTGACTCAAGATACAATCTAATCCTGTAGATTGTATCCTGCCTCAGTAATATAATTGCCTCTAATCCTGCCTCATTAACATCATAGAGATTAGGATTTACAACACATAAGATAATTACATCAGATCAGAAAATGGAGAATAATTACATAATACTGAGGATCGTGGCCTAGCCAAGTTGACACATATTTTGGGGGGACAAAATTCAATCCATAACAATAGCCTTTGCTTCTTTTTAGAGCTATTCAATTTTTGCAAAAAAGAAAGAAAAATAGTCTAATCTTTCTGGGAACAAAGAACAGGGATTCAGCACTATCTGTAAAATAAATCCACAAATGCTTAAATGCAATTTAATCACTCTTCAGGCTTCTTTGTAATGAAAAATTTTACTTCTTTCTCAAATTATTTTTAACCCCTATTACAATTTTTATATATTCTATTAAAATAGAGCAACCATAACCATAACCATAACCATAACATTCCAATAAGGGTTCATGAAATTCTAATAAAAACGGAAGGATTGTGTTGTATTTTTATCTTTTGTTTTGTTTACTTTTTTGTCATCAGATACCATTGACTATATGCATTTATATCATATTAACTTTAGAATAACGCAACTGTACTGGAGACCTTCTTGTAAGTTCACTTAACCCCATTGAACTTTATAGTATTTGTTTTTCCTTTGAGATTTCTAAAGAAGCATGCCAAAAAACTTTAAACCTATTTTTAGTTACAGCCATTGGAAATTGGGTTTGGTAGGACATGGGACTAGAACTTTGACTATCTATCTGCTGGCCAAAACCTAACTCATTTATTTAATAGTGGAGTGAGTTCTTAATTTTTGCTTTTGTGCCAGTGAGGCTTATTTTTTCTTGAAGATTTTGTGACAGGTTGGATAAAGTTTAAAATAAAAAGGAAGCTATTAATAACGGAAACTATATATTTATAGTACAGTTCCCAAGCCCGTATTCTATTTCATTTCTTTTTCTTTATTCCAACCAATTACTGAGTACATACCACGCACTAGAAGTGGATGTACAGAGTCGAAAGCCATTGTCCATGCCTTTGAGGTGTTCTAAGTCCAGTAGTTGAAGCAAAGTAAGAAACTGCAATATGATATGATAAATGCTTATGGGGGATGGAGGGTGATTGAAAGGAATTAGAGATGCCTCACTGAAGGATGTGACTCCTAAACTAGGCACTGAAGGGAAATGAAAAGTAGCCAGAAAGGCAGAAGTGATCAAATAAAGAAGAGATGGCAGAATCAGAGAATGCATCTCAATTAGAGGAACTATCCTGAAAGAGTATGGGAGAAAGTAGGTAGTTCTGATTGAGAGACATGTATGTTTGGGCAGGGAGTATAGAAAAGAAGGAAGGGGCTATAGAGATTGTTTAGGAATTTGAAATTTATCTGGAGGATATTAGTGATCCAATTAGCCATATTTAAGCTTGTGGCCAATCATATTTGTTCTAAAAAACTATTCTGGTGGAGATGAGGAATATGCAGAAGGTGAAAGATTGGGGTAGAGAAAACATGAATGTGCTGAATTACTACCAGTGAGAGATGTGGAAGGCCTAAGCCAATGTAGTGATTCCCAAAAGGAAGCTGCTTGCATTGTGTTGTGGTGTTCTTACATAAAAACTGCCATCACAAGGTAGGGAAGGGCATGGGCTTCCGACAGTCAAATCATGGTTATGATGCTGAGCAAGTTTCTCAATACTTCTGTGCTTTAGCATTTTTAGCTATAAATTAGGGAAAATAAAATTAACCTTTTACATGGGATTTTTATGAGGACTAAATGACATGATTCCTGTTAAATTTTTTTCATATAGTAAGAGCATAATGTTAATAGATATTGGTGGTGGTGGTGTTGTCATGTACAGTTTTAAGAAAAGTTCATTCCAATAGGAATACTGCAAGGGCTATGATAATTAGAAAACACATTGACAACCTTCAGACTGTAATTTCTGATCTTACTGCTTAATTATGATTAATGCTATCAAGATTCTCAAAAATTCACTGTGTTAAATATTAAAAGTCCCATTTTTCTTTTCCTGTGATATAAACAATGTCAAAAGATAGCAATTCAACTAATAAAACTGAGGACACCTGTTATAATTCAAAGTATGAAGGGAAAAGACACATCAGTCTTTTTTTAAGAAAGATCAAATTAAAAAAAAATTTGTATCATAGAGTCAACACATCTTTATTCATGGTTATAGTTATTAAACATTAAGACAATAACTAACATACTTAAATCACAAATGAGGAGAAGGAAAAATCAAACAAACAAAAAACAGGAGCCGGAAGAGAAAAGAAGGAGTGAAATGAAAGTTCTGAGGGAGCGCAGTAGAGTAAATCAGATAGTTCCCATATCTAAGATTATAGTGTTCCAGTCCATTTTGTCCTCCGGGCTTTAGGTTTATAGCATTTAGATTTTTAAAAACTGTTTTATCTCCAGTAGTTTTTTCTTATACATGCACAATTTACATAAAAAATTGAATGGGTTGACATACGTAGCTTTTTTTTTTAATTTTTTTTATTGTACTTTAGATGAAGGTTTACAGAACAAATAGTTTCTCATTAAACAGTCA